AAATATATTTACAATGTAGATGTAAGCAAAATCTTAAGTCAGTATAACCCTTCTAATTAAATTATTATTACTGTGTTTCGGTAGTGACAAATTTGGGGAGAGGACAAATATTCCAAAACTTTCTGAAAATACAATATGAGAATTAACTGCACATTTACTAGAAATGTGTATCTTGGATATTATACAATTCTCCAAACGTGTACAGTTCTTACTGTTGTTAATTAATAACATCTTTCCCTCTCTCAGTCAGGAGCAAAGAATTGGAAAATGAGGCCACCTTACATAAACACAGCTCATCCACACTGGTTTACAGTGGACAAATTAAGCTTCTCAAACCCGAGTACAGGCCAGTATATGAGAATCCCGACAGTGCAGAATTCCAACAAGTGGCAAGGGACTTGGAAGGAATTGTGAGTTGTTGTTTTTTTTGTTCTCACTTTTCTTTGCTGTTGGTTCAAGTGATTCAGTTTTATCTGTATTTAAAAAAAAAAATCAATACATGAACTTCAATGACTTTACTAAAGCTTTTGAAGTCTTTCAAGGTGTCTATACACTGCAAAGATTTCATGAAGTGTCATCTTAAGTGGCATAGATAGCACAAATGGCATGTACACATTTTGTTGGCATGCAATATATCACAAGCTTAATTTTTGATTGTGTAGGTGACAGAAAAAAGACACCTGTATAATAGATAAAGATGGTAGTGGGCGTCTAGCTGACAGACTCATCAAAGCTGTGTATTTCTTCCCAATCATGCTCACAAGCACAAGATGGGACTCCTTAGCAATGCCTGCCTCAAACAAACAACTTCCCATCGCCCCATTGACTCGTTAGGTGACATTACAGGTTATGTGAATGTCACAACACGCGTGTCATATTGTATGGTAAAATCAGAATAAAAGAAAACAATCTGTTTTAGGACTATCAGTGTTCATCTTAATATTTTTTTATTTAATATTACTTAAAGGGGTAGTTCACCCAAAAATGAAAATTCTGTCATTAATTACTCATCCTCATGTCGTTCCAAACCCGTAAGACCTTTGTTCATCTTCGGAGCACAAATTAAGATATTTTTGATGAAAACCAAGAGCTTTCTGACCCTGCATATACAGCAACGCAACTGACACATTCAAGGCCCAGAAAGGTAACATACTGTTGAACCATTGATGTCATATGGACAATTTTAATGATGTCTTTACTACCTTTCTGGACTTTGAACTTGGTAGTTGCATTGCTGTCTATGCAGGGTCAGAAAGCTCTCGGATTTCATCAAAAACTTCTTAGTTTGTGTTCCAAAAATGAACTATCTTACGGGTTTGAAACATAATTAATGACAGTCAGAGTTTTCATTTTATAAAATAAAATAAAATTAATAAAATAAAATATTTATTTTTGATTTTCGTAATTGTATCATTGAAATAAGCATTTTCTGCTTCAAAATAATGTGTATTGTGAAAAGGGCAATACAACTAAATGTGAATTTATGCCTATAATTGACAATAATTGTAAAATAATCTGCTTCTTTTTTTAGATGAACGATACATTCACCAGAGATCCTCTCCTTTCCAAATACTATACCAAGTCTGTCATCACTGCCTTCAGGTAAAGCTGAACTACAGCTCCCTGACTCAGACAAAGTAAAATTTATAGCATGCTCTCTAAATCTAATAGTTTTTAAATTAAACAATAGATCATTCTTTATGTCTTGATTTTAATACTTAGTGGTTCCGCTGATAGAGATAAATTACAAGTCTAATAGAATCTGGGTTTAAAAAATCACCCTAATAGAATACAAATTATTAATTTCCAGTTCAACTATTACTACTGCTCATGCTCAGGGTTGGGGACCATAAAAACAGAGCGAAAATCCATTACACCGAATCAGAGTATCATGCATAATGAGCTCTTTTTTGATTTGGGTCAGAAACCATCTAGACCGAGCATAGCATCATTCTTAAAATCACACAAAACACCATAGCAACTAACATTATGCAAAGCAAATCCTAAAATTGGTATCAGTACATTATGCATGAGCAAGTACTACAAAAATCAAGTTGTACTTTCATTCAGTAATATGTCTTATTTGCACCATCATGCATCAAATATATTTACAATGTAGATGTAAGCAAAATCTTAAGTCAGTATAACCCTTCTAATTAAATTATTATTACTGTGTTTCGGTAGTGACAAATTTGGGGAGAGGACAAATATTCCAAAACTTTCTGAAAATACAATATGAGAATTAACTGCACATTTACTAGAAATGTGTATCTTGGATATTATACAATTCTCCAAACGTGTACAGTTCTTACTGTTGTTAATTAATAACATCTTTCCCTCTCTCAGTCAGGAGCAAAGAATTGGAAAATGAGGCCACCTTACATAAACACAGCTCATCCACACTGGTTTACAGTGGACAAATTAAGCTTCTCAAACCCGAGTACAGGCCAGTATACGAGAATCCCGACAGTGCAGAATTCCAACAAGTGGCAAGGGACTTGGAAGGAATTGTGAGTTGTTGTTTTTTTTGTTCTCACTTTTCTTTGCTGTTGGTTCAAGTGATTCAGTTTTATCTGTATTTAAAAAAAAAAATCAATACATGAACTTCAATGACTTTACTAAAGCTTTTGAAGTCTTTCAAGGTGTCTATACACTGCAAAGATTTCATGAAGTGTCATCTTAAGTGGCATAGATAGCACAAATGGCATGTACACATTTTGTTGGCATGCAATATATCACAAGCTTAATTTTTGATTGTGTAGGTGACAGAAAAAAGACACCTGTATAATAGATAAAGATGGTAGTGGGCGTCTAGCTGACAGACTCATCAAAGCTGTGTATTTCTTCCCAATCATGCTCACAAGCACAAGATGGGACTCCTTAGCAATGCCTGCCTCAAACAAACAACTTCCCATCGCCCCATTGACTCGTTAGGTGACATTACAGGTTATGTGAATGTCACAACACGCGTGTCATATTGTATGGTAAAATCAGAATAAAAGAAAACAATCTGTTTTAGGACTATCAGTGTTCATCTTAATATTTTTTTATTTAATATTACTTAAAGGGGTAGTTCACCCAAAAATGAAAATTCTGTCATTAATTACTCATCCTCATGTCGTTCCAAACCCGTAAGACCTTTGTTCATCTTCGGAGCACAAATTAAGATATTTTTGATGAAAACCAAGAGCTTTCTGACCCTGCATATACAGCAACGCAACTGACACATTCAAGGCCCAGAAAGGTAACATACTGTTGAACCATTGATGTCATATGGACAATTTTAATGATGTCTTTACTACCTTTCTGGACTTTGAACTTGGTAGTTGCATTGCTGTCTATGCAGGGTCAGAAAGCTCTCGGATTTCATCAAAAACTTCTTAGTTTGTGTTCCAAAAATGAACTATCTTACGGGTTTGAAACATAATTAATGACAGTCAGAGTTTTCATTTTATAAAATAAAATAAAATTAATAAAATAAAATATTTATTTTTGATTTTCGTAATTGTATCATTGAAATAAGCATTTTCTGCTTCAAAATAATGTGTATTGTGAAAAGGGCAATACAACTAAATGTGAATTTATGCCTATAATTGACAATAATTGTAAAATAATCTGCTTCTTTTTTTAGATGAACGATACATTCACCAGAGATCCTCTCCTTTCCAAATACTATACCAAGTCTGTCATCACTGCCTTCAGGTAAAGCTGAACTACAGCTCCCTGACTCAGACAAAGTAAAATTTATAGCATGCTCTCTAAATCTAATAGTTTTTAAATTAAACAATAGATCATTCTTTATGTCTTGATTTTAATACTTAGTGGTTCCGCTGATAGAGATAAATTACAAGTCTAATAGAATCTGGGTTTAAAAAATCACCCTAATAGAATACAAATTATTAATTTCCAGTTCAACTATTACTACTGCTCATGCTCAGGGTTGGGGACCATAAAAACAGAGCGAAAATCCATTACACCGAATCAGAGTATCATGCATAATGAGCTCTTTTTTGATTTGGGTCAGAAACCATCTAGACCGAGCATAGCATCATTCTTAAAATCACACAAAACACCATAGCAACTAGCATTATGCAAAGCAAATCCTAAAATTTATTATGCATGAGCAAGTACTACAAAAATCAAGTTGTACTTTCATTCAGTAATATGTCTTATTTGCACCATCATGCATCTGCAGTGAAGGAACCTTAGCGTATCATTGGTCTCAATTTGACATTCCTGAGACGGACCAAGAGATCGTCCCAGAGCTGACAGAGGAGCGTGTGGTCGAGGCTCTGCGGAGGAGCATCCGGCAGGAGGGCAAACGAGTCGGGAACATCGCAGTCACTGCCAGCGACATCACTGCTTCATGTAAGATGATTGCTAATTATAAAGACACAGTCGCAGTGCAGTAATAACGGAAGATTATATTGAAAACGGTTGTGAAAAACAACATTATGGCTGTTTTTGTAGCAAAATGCAATGACTAACATGTATGTAAATTACAAAAACAATGATTAAAAATGTATGAAATGGCTCCTTTAGGAGCACTGATGCTTTTTAATAACATTGTAGATAACGGCAGGGACTCGCCCCCATTGTGCAACAAAGTAATTCTTTGTTTTTGCAAAAAACTGTAACACTCTGTCCTTCTCCGGTCCCCATCTGCATTATATACACGAGAGCAGTGGGCCTGAGTGACGCCTCAGTGCCCTGCTTAAAATGATATCTCTGTACGGAGACTCATGTCGCTGTAGTGAGGTGAGAGACTGGTATTTGTGAACGTCGGAGTCAAGGTTGAGGGGTGGAGGAGGAGGAACAGAATGTCTGACAGGCCTTTGGAAAATGGAAGGAAAGAGGATTGAAAAAAGTACAGCATGCATCATGTTCTCTCTCTCTGCAGCCACAGACCCTCGGATGGCCAGGGACCCCAGATCCAGTGAGTAAAGTGTGTCCCATTTCAGTCACCGCTGCACTGTAATTTTCCACCTGGGTTGCCATGCTCTCTCCTGTCACTCACTGAAAAATGCCTGCCCGCCTCCATCTCACACTCGCTCTATCTCTCGCTTGCTTTCCCTTCCACTTACCTTGCTGTGCACAACAGCACGGGATCTCAAAAACCTGTTTTTCAACCACAGAGAGCATTGCTACAGCTCTTCAACAGCACCTTTGGATAAATGTCTAAATTATCTGCATTAAACTGCAAGTGCATGGAGGTTTCATATGGCTTTAGAGTCAACATGAAAGCAAAATAGACTCTTTTTACTCCAATTAAATGTATGGCTTGTAATCTTTCATAAAAAATTTGTAGACTTTGCTTATTTGAGACCAGGGATTCCAAAAAAATGTTTGTCAGCCAAACACATTGACCTAAAATATTAAATAAGTACCCTCTGAGAGTTAATATTTCAAAAATTTAACAACACATTGGCATATTTACGGTTGTCTGGGTTGCTGGTCACATGACAAGCAGGCAAACAAAAAAAGTTGAACAAATACAATTTATTTATTTTGAAAATGTATTTTTTTTTTAATTATTTTATGATTTAATTTGCTATTCATCAACTCACAAACCCCTGCAAGCTTAATGTTTAATGTAATATTATTTTAGCATTAATGTTTAAGGTTATGTCAATAATAGCAAATAATAGTATATTTTAAAATAATGAAATTCATTTCATTTTAACTTCAAAATCCATTTAATGGTCTCTCCAGTGGCGAAGAGAGAAAAACAAACACACAGAAGTACATTTACATATAATAATGTTTACATTAAAAAACGTTTCAATTTGTCTAGAGCTGCTGTAGTGAGATTTGAAGTTAATGATGGGCTGGGGCACTTAGAAGTGACAACAATAATCAACAGCAAATCAACGATTTCAAAACATTAAATTTTTTATTCTGTGGTCATGGTAAAGTTTTGGGATGTTATTTTGGGACATACACGGTGATTGATAAAATATGCCTCCATTTAGTTTGCAGCGCCCACTTTCTACAATCTAATCAGTTCCTGATTAACAAAATCAAGTCTCGCCCTCTATTATTTTTCTTGTTCGATAAACCATTTCGCTCTAATACGTCAAGTTACCTTTATTTATATAGTGCTTTATACAATACAGGTTGTGTGAAAGCACCTTTACAGTGTTTAACAGGAAAATAGTGTGTTGATAATGCAGGAGGACAATAATAAACAGTCAATTCTTCAGTTAATGTCAGTTCATTGTTAATTCAGTGGTGTCATCACTGTCGTCCAGCTCAGTTCTCTACAAATAGTGTCTGTGCAGTCAAGCTGACAATATTAACAGAAATTAAGTGTCCCAACTAAGCAAGCCAAAGGCGACAGTGGAGAAGAGCCAAAACTCCATCGGTGAGACGGTGACCGAAATGGGGGGCCAGTTCTCCTCTGGCCAGACGAAACCGGCATGGTGTGGTTAAATTCCAGGCTGTAGCAAAGTCAGATTGTGCAGAGGACTCATCTGGTTCTCATGGTCTTGGTCTAGGTGATGAGGTCTTTGCTGGGGATTTGTCTCTGGGGCTCATCTAGTTGACATGGTTCTCCGCTGACATTCAGGGCTGTAGAGGCCTCTAGGTGCTGATCCACCATCTGATATGTCACAATAGGGAAGTAAATCCAGTCACAGTTTTGGTTCATGCTTTTCCTGTTTCTGTTATCAGATAAATGCTTTTACAGTCTCATGGCTGACACCACCAGCAAAGAATTTACATCCCCGGAACACCCTAGGAGATACCCAGCTAACTCCCGATGCCAGTGGCAGATCCGCGCTCCTAAAGGTTATGCCATCAGTGTCAAGTTCAGGACCTTCCACATAGAGGATGACTGTGCCAATGATTATGTAGCCATCTATGACTCGCTCAGTCCTGACAGCACGTATGCTATCACAAAGTGAGTACATGCTACTTTCAAACCTCATATTTCATTTGTGCCATTTAGGTTTTACCGTAACCTATAACAATGCTGTTTAAATGAATATAAAGTTAAAAGGCCGAAATGCTTTATCATCACTTGAATACCATAAAAACCTTTCCCCACTTTGAGCAAAATAAAGCAGTTTTTCCTTTTAGGGACTTCAAATTAACATGTGCTGTAATCTCTGTGTACAACCAATCTTTTTTTTAATCTCTTATGCTCACCAAGTCTGCATTTATTTGATCAAAAATACAATGAAAAACAGTAATATTGTGAAATATTATTGGTAATTTAAAATCACCATTTTCTATTTTAATTTATTTTAAAATGTAATTTATTCCTGTGATGTAAAGCTGAATTTTCAGCATCATTAGTCCAGTCGTCAGTGTCACATGATCCTGATTTGATGCTCAAGAAAAAAATGCTTATTATCAAAGTTGGAAATGGTTATGCTGCTTAATATTTTGTAAAATCTGTGATACATTTTTGGATTCTTTAATGAATAGAGAGTTCAGGATAACAGCATTTATTTGAAATATAATTTTTTTTTAACAATATAGAAGTCTTTAATGTAGGGTGGCCATATGTGCCATTTATACGGGACACGTCCTGGCCAGGATTTTTATATTGCCTAAAACATCTAAAGTAGCTTGACCAATAACATGCAGGTATTGTACATAATCTACAGAGTACGATCAAAGTGATGTAAATACGCGCACGTGTTTGTTCATTCGTTCGACTTGAAGCGTTGCTGAGCACCGATCATTGCATGACACAAAAGTACTGCAAGAGCGATTCGAAAGCATAAGGAGCCATCTGCTCTGCTCTCTATAGCTCTTGTGAATGTCATACAACAATCGATCGGCACAGTGCAAACAGCTAAAACCTGGATATTTTAGGCAATATAGAAATCCTGGCAAAGATGAGTCCTGTAAAAATGGCCCGCGTATGGTCACCGTATTTTAATGTCACTTTTGATCCATTTAAGGCATCCTTGCTCAATAAAGATATTAATTTCTTTGAAAAAGTAACACATACTGTACAGATTATAGGTAATATCCTCAATGCATCTCTACCTTCTAAACTTCAAGGACGAAGCCCTCTCATCGGCGCTGGTTGCAGACATTTCAATTCAATTTCATTTTCACAGTTGGCCTAAGGCTTCTTGCTGAAGATTGGCTTGTTAAAGGGGTCATGGGATGCCCATTTTCCACAAGTTGATATGATTCTTTAGGGTCTTAATGAAAAGTCTGTAACATAGTTTGGTTAAAATTTCTCAATGGTAGTGTAAAAAACACCTTACCCTGTCAAAAACAGCTCTTTTCAGAGCTCGCAGTTTTGTAGCATTTTCCTTTAAATGTTAATGAGCTCCGCTGACCCCGCCCCTCTATTCCAAGCCGCTCTCTGAGGGACTGTTTACTTTAACCGCATTCATCGTGAAACTTGTTAATTAGCACATTATTAGGAAAGGCCATTTGCAAAGATTCATTAAAAAACCTTATACTCGCTTCTTCTGGAGGTGAAGCTGGATCACGAATGATTCGCGCAAACATAGACGCATTTAGGTAGATCGGGAGTGCATTCCCTTCAAAAACAAACGTAATCCACTAAGTCTATAGCAGCTCAGATGTCGGGAATAAATGACGACTGCTATGTTCATTATTACATCCAACAACAGAACACCTCAATCGCTTAGGAGTCTGCTCTGGCAGTGAAACAATGGCAGACTGATGACAGCTCACTCAGGGCGGGTCTAAGGTAAGACGCCAGTCCAGTCTGTCCTGAAACGCTACTGTCTATCAAACTATCGTGAAAGGGGCCTGTTCTTGTGAAGTCACACAGACAGGCATCTGAGATTGGCTCGATTTGAGAAAGAGGGAAAGATTTTAGTAGATAAAAAAAAAACAAGGGATTTTT